GGAGTGAAGGAAATCTTGTAGAAGAACCTTGTAACCAAATTTGCACACCTAATGTTTGATAAAATACTCAAATGAGCTGAAACCATGAAAACTCTTCCTAATTATGGTTCACTTTTGTTATGCTTCTAAATAGATTGAAGTTGCTAGAATTTTCGGAACCTCGTAGTAATATAAGGAAGGCTCAAGAAAGATTGGAGTCGTCCGGAGGTCAATTCAAGCAAGAAGGCGATTTTGGAATATCGGCCTAACTTCAAAAAGGTAAGTGTCTTGCTTAACCTCGAGTGGGGGAATTTCCCCTTAGGCATTGAGTCTTATGTGCAAATTGTATAATTGAAAATCATGTATGCGAGGTGACAAGTACGTACTTGGTTTATATGTGCGAATTTCATTGATTAAAAATTCTTAGATGCCCTTATGTATTAAATTGAAAATTTTTGGCACTTATTAAATCCTCTATTTGTCATGCCTAGATCCTTGTCTGTTGAAATTATTTTTATATGATGATTTGGTGTGATTGCCACCTTGAATTTATGTGAAATATATTTTGTTAAGATTTTGTGCACATTATGGTCGAGCCATGGGCTCCTTATTGTGGAAAATGATGTATTGCTGATTTCTGTGGCATGTTGTAATATTTGAGCACTTTGAGCCATTTGTGATATGTGAGTACTTAATGTGCAGTTGTTGAAATCATATTTACTTTGGGACTACGGAACGGTATTCCGGGAGATCCTTCTGCCCTGCATATTTACTTTTGGGATTACGAGGCGGTACCTCGGGAGATTCCCATATCTTGCACATTTACTTTTGGGACTACGAGGCGGTACCTCGGGAGATTCCCCATGTCTTGCACATTTACTTTTGGGACTACGAGGCGGTACCTCGGGAGATTCCCCATGTCTTGCACATTTACTTTTGGGACTACGAGGCGGTACCTCGGGAAATTTTCCCTGTCTTGCACATTTATTTTTGGGACTACAAGGCGGTACCTCGGAAGATTTCCCCTGTCTTGCATATTTACTTTTGGGACTACGAGGCGGTACTTTGAGAGTGCCCTTTTGTTGATATTTTTCTATGGATGCACTTGCCTTTGGTTATTTTATTTTTTCGTAATTTGTAAATTCTTGTGTTTTTCGTGATGGATTATTTGACTTAATATTAAGTGTTTTGTATTTCTTGATGCATTGCGTTGACCTTGACTTTTTCGTACGAGACTTTGAGGATTTGTATTTTTGGGTTGTACTTATTTTTTATGATTGAGTTATTTTGAGTTGTTTTAAATAAAAGAAAAATTTCTAGTATGTTTAATTTAATAAATTCTATATCCAAATCAGTAGTTTAGCTGATGCTTTATTTTAATGAAAATATCATTTTTCCTCACTCAAACGATTTCTAAAATAAACTTATCATTTTGTTAATTTCTTACTTGATTTAAAGATTTTTTTTAACCTTACTTTATTAAAAATAAATTGATCATGCGGATCTTATATACATTGATATTTTGGTACGTGAGTTTTCCGTACAATTATGAAAATAATATGGGCATGAGGTGCCGGAAAAAAATATAATAATTTTATTATTGACACGTGAGTTGTGGGTGTGATGGTGATAGAAATATGGGCACGAGATGCCGTGAAAAATATGAAAGTGGGCTGAGACCCGAAATATTTATGATTGTGAAATGAGATGCCACATGGTGACTTTTACTTGAAAATATATTTATTGGAAAGAATTATATTTGAAAGATATTAATCTTAAAGAATAATATGTGAAGGATTTATATTTGAAGGACTTGACTTGTTGATTGTACTTGTGTTCCTTATTCGCATGAGTAATAATTGTGATGTTCTTATTGCCTTGTTGTTATATCACTGGTTGAGTTTGTTGTTATCATTGCTAGTTATTTTTCAGTACTATTGTATACTGCTATATTATACAGGCTATTTGACTAGTGAGTATCTTGACTGTACCTCGTCTCTACTCCACTGAGGTTAGTCTTGATACTTACTGGGTACCGGCTGTAGTGTACTCATACTACACTTCTGCACATTTTTGTGCAGAGCCAGGTATTGGAGGTATCAGACCTGGACAGAGTTAGAGTGTGATCGCAAGGATTCAAGGTAGAGCTGCTTGGTCGTCGCAGTCCCTTGGAGTCTGTTCATTTTATTGTACTGTTAATTTTTAATCAAACAGTATTGAGTATTCGATCATTGAGATCATTTCATGTATTATGTTAGAGTTCATGACTCAGTACTACCAGTCTTGAGAGGTTGTTATAATTATTTTCGTTGTTGGTTTCGTTTATAAAAAAAATGGCTTCGAAATGTAATGAAAATTGGCTTACCTAGTCTTAGAGACTAGGTTCCATCACGACGCTTGTGGTGGGATTTTGGGTCGTGACAATAATGCGCACCTGCAGTGCCATATCTGTGCAAGAACCTCCGCACCTGCAGAAAATCATTAAAAACCCCAACTTCGCACTTACGCCCCATATCCGCATTTGCGATCACGCAGGTGCGGGAAAGACCTTGCACTTGCGGACACTGTCTGACCTCCTCACTTCCGTTTCGACGGGCACCTATCCGCATCTGTGGACCCGCAGATGCGACCTCCCCTACACACCTGTGGACCCAGCCTACTTTAACTCTGTCTGCACCTGCGAACTCCCGCGCGCACTTGTGACCTCGCACCTGCGGCTCCCCATCCGCATGTGCGGAAATACCAGTACCAGCAGCTTCAGCTGCATTTTCCAACTTCAAATAATCCGTTAACCACCCGAAATCACCCCGAGCCCCTCGAGATCTCAACAAATCACACTAACAAGTCGAACCTTCGGAACACTCAAATACGAATTTAGTCGAACCTTCGGAACACTCAAAACGACATCAAAACACCAAATTACACTCGGATTCAAGCGTAAGGACTTCTAAACTTCCGAATTCCACCAATGATGCCGAAACCCGCTAAACCATGTCCGAATGACTTCAAATTTTACACACACGTCACAAATGACACCAAGAACCTACTCCAACTTCCATAATTCCATTCCGACCCCGATATCAAATTTTTCACTGCCGACCGAAATCGCCAAATTTCCAACTTTCACCAATTCAAGCCTACTTCCACTACGGACCTCCAAATCGCATTCTGGATGTGCTTGTAAGTCCAAAATCACCTAACGGAGCTAACGGAATCATCAAAATTTAAATCTGAGACCGTTTACACATAAGTCAATGTCCAATTGACTTTTCCAACTTAAGCTTCTAAATAAGAGACTAAGTATCTCAATCCACTCTGAAACCACTCCGGACCCGAACCAACTAACTCGATATATCATAATATAGCTGAAAAGCACAAAAGGAGGCAGAAATGGAGAAAACGGGGCTATAACTCTCGAAACAAACGGCCGAGTCGTTACATTTTTTCACTCTTCTTCAAAAATTCCTCTCTGTTTTTATAGATTCAAGCTCTAAATACTCTACCACATACCTCCATTAACATTTGTTGCTTGCTTAACTTTCAATGAAGAGGAAAACACTTTCGAAGATCGGCCCTAATTCCAGTAAGAGAGCAGCAATTCCATCATTGACAGCCATTAAAATGCTTTGAAGCTTTGAATTCGAATTTGGATTTTCAAAGACCATTATTTGTTTGAATTGGGTATTGCTGCAAATAATTGGGAATATTGTTTGGAGTTTATATCTCAATTTTAAGGGTGTTTTGGTGAAGATTAAACTTGATTTTGGCTGAATTTCAGATTGAAACTCGAAGAAGAAGAAGAAGAAGACATGACATATATTATACTTACGAAATTGTAGTAAAGTTGTAGTAAAATTATAGAAAAATTATATTCTGTTGTTTATATATATTTTTTTATTTAAATATTGTATGAAAGTTGAACAATATTGTATAAAAATTGTATTTTAGTTGTATGATATTCTAATTGTATATAACTGGGGTAGAAATAATGTATGAAAGTTGTAGATAAATTATAGATAAGTTGTATAATATATAATTAGTTGTATAAAATTTGCTTTTACTATGTATAAATCAGATACAAAATATACAAAAGACATATTGTATAAAGTTTATATAAAAATTGTAGTTAAGTGGTATAATATTGTAGTTGTAGATAAGTTGTAGATAAGTTGCATAATACATAATTGTTATGTATGGAATTTGTTTTTACTATGTATAAATCAGATACAAAATATACAAAAGACATATTTGTATAAAATTTGTATAAAAAATGTATTTAAATTTGTTGGGTGATTGATACTTGACCATGAAATGACCATTTTAGTTCCTTTCTCCTCTTCGTGTTTAAAGAGTTGACTCGATCATTAGCAGTTGAAATTATGATTTTACTCACTCATTCTCCCATATGATTTCCTAAAGTAAAAGAGATGGTTGAATGTTTCTTGTCTTGAGCTACAGGATGGCAACAATGTATATCGACCCCCCAAACTTGTACTTGCTCCTATGGAAGAAGATAAAATGTCGAGGCATGATAGAAATAAATCGAGGAAGGAGACAATGGACTTGCGAAAGGCTAGACAAAACCCGTTTATGATAGATTTGGTGAATAATCTTGAAGGAAGACCCGAAGAGGTAATTCACGATCTGACTATTAATACTGAGATATTTTCAATGACCCCTCTGGTTTTTTACTATTACTTTCGGTGAAATTTACGCATGTTTAAATTTCTCAGTCGTGCTCACTGATCTTGTTTGTTATAAGAGGGGAGAGAGGAGAGAAAAAAGGAAAATGGTGTAACTAAATCCCTTGATTGAAGACACAAATAATGGATTGAAAGCCTTTTAAGGCGGATTGTATATATTTTGTAACTAAAATATATTTAGGTTGGATAAATATCAAAATATTAACATTTTTAATAAGATTTCAAATAGTATATAGGAATAAAAAAATCCAAATATTAATTGCTGCGAAACACAGGATCAGGAATCTTTTTCTCCTCGTGGGGACTTGGGGGTGATAAGTTCGATAGACAATGGGACATCAAATTCCTCGTCACTTAGTAAAACCAAAACCAATCTAGGTCGCTATTAGTGATGACATAGTTTGCTCAATCCTATCGCATACTGTTCTAGAGCTAGCTTTGACCCTCGCCACTATAAAATTTTTGTCCCTTCTCTCCATTTTTCGTTCGGAAAAAAAATATCTTGGAAGTTGAGGTAATACCCATTTCATTCTTTACAATTGCTTTGGGGTTCTGAATTTTGATGAAAAATCTGATTTTGTTTAATGGGTTTCTGTTAATTTGATTGGATTTGTAGTTTTGCCACTGAGATTTGAGCATGGGTAATGCTTCTTCAATGTTGACTCAGTATGATATTGAGGATGTCCAAGACCATTGCAACCATCTATGTAAATTTTTTCTTACTCATCTATTTAGTCTTCTTTTTATTCCTTTTCTTGCGCAGCTTACTAATTGGAAAAAATTAACCGCAGTTACACAGCAGGAAATAGTGTCACTATATCAGAGGTTCTGCCAACTTGATCGGAATTCAAAGGGCTTTATATCAGCTGATGAGTTTATGTCTGTGCCTGAATTCGCGATGAATCCACTCTCTCAGGTTTGCTTTTAAATTTTTATGTTGGTCTTAACTAGTATATTTGTATGTAATAGGATATTGGTATCTTCTTGTCTGTCTTGTTGGTATGTTCTCTGTGTTTGATAATGTGAAATGCATCTTCCAGAGATTGCTTAAGATGGTGGATGGCTTGAATTTCAAGGACTTCGTGGCATTTTTATCAACTTTCAGTGCTAAAGCGAGCATGGCACAGAAAATTGAACGTACGTCATAAGTCTTACATGTGTTGTTTTTATGCAACTTAAGGAAAAACGTGTTTGATAGAAGGACCGTGTTTAAAATGTTTTTGGGTTTGTTTGTTTAGACCTTGTATTTTCATTATATTGGCGTGAGATGTGTTTAAATGGAGTAACTGTCAGTGAGGATTCACACAGTTGACCCTAACTTGATTGAGAATGAGGTGTAGTTGTTATTAAACTACTTTGTTTAGCTTAAGTGACATCTTAGGTATTGCAAGTCAATTAGCTGGATGCAGATATGTAGCTAGACATGCTACTATCCTTGCTAGATTTTTGTAGTATTATGCATATCTGAAATTTTTGTAAGATCCTTCGCCTACTTTCCCTTTATAAATTGTGCCGACCGATCTGCTACTGTGGTTTAAAGAGAAGATCCATCTGTGCCATTACATGATTATTTTTAGTCTGTCTAGGATTGGGGATTTATACTAGAGGGATGTAAAGGTTTTAATATGTAGTACCAGTCACTGAAGAAGTCCTTTTATAGCAACAATTATGCAGATCCTATCTTTTACTGCTGAAATGTATTTGAAAATTGAAACAAGAGATTTATTATTTACCTAATATAACTTTCATACTTTCTTTTGCCCTTCTTAGCACTTACTGACTCTTCAACGTACTTTTTTGCTTAGTTATCTTCAAGGTATATGATTCTGATTGCAATGGGAAGGTGACCTTTGATGACATAATGGAAGTGCTTCGGGATTTAACTGGATCATTCATTTCAGACAAGCAAAGAGAGGTACTTGACAGTTGACATCTTTTCTCCTTTCTACTCTCTCATATTAGTATAGAGATTTATTCACAAAAATAACATTGAGAAAGTGCTCGAGTTGTACAAGATGTATGACTTAGTCTCCTATCCAAGATAGAAGGATTCTATAAAGATAAAAGTGTCAAAATGATTATCTCACACCACAATGATAGAGATTATACATCTTCATCAAGATGAGTATTCCTGCAAAGATTGCTGGCTCCTAAAAGAGAAGATTGGATAATATGCTAGACTTCATCAACTTCATTTATGGCATGTAGGGGTAATCTTCATTCATGTGTTTGAAGTGCCCTGAGTAGTTTTTACAGATTTTAGTCATTCTATTTCTTGAAATTGTAAGTGCTTTATGCTTTTATGTCTTGGTTCTTCACTGTGATCATTGCTTGTGCTCGATTTTATTTAGTCTATAACTAAATTACTCTGTCAAAAGAGTAAAGCTGGAAGTATATAAACATGTCTAAAGTGTAAACTGAAAATATCAATCTGAGATTTCTTTCCTTATCAAAAAAACTATAAAATCTCTTTTGCCCCTCTCTTATCTTAAAAGCTAATAGTAGTTGTTTCCCTATTTTTACTCCCAATTTGCCTAAATTCTAGTGGTGAGCACCCTCCACTCCCAACCAAGAGGTTGTGAGTTTGAGTCACCCCAAGAGTAAGGTGGGGAGTTCTTGGAGGGAGGGAGCCGAGTGTCTATCGGAAATAGCCTCTCTACCCCAGGGTAGGGGTAAGGTCTGCGTACACACTACCCTCCCCAGACCCCACTAGTGGGATTATACTGGGTTGTGGTTGTTGTTGTTGTTGTAACTTCCCAATTTGAAACCTTTTCTCACTTAACTAGCTTGCGATCTATGCTACACATGTTTTAATGTAAGGGTCTAAAGTGCAGTTTTCTAACATAAGGCTCTAAATTGTAGTTTGTAGAATCATGAACTGCTACTTTATCCAGTGCTTCTGATCTAGCTTGTGACAGCGGACAGATTCTCCTTTATAAAAGTTACCCTGCTTTCTTCTTTAGTGGCGTCTATGTTGTAGAGAATAGAGATCTTGCTCTTTTCCTTTATATTATTACTTTACCTAGGGTTGAAGTGAAGAGAAAATTGAAGAAGGCTGGGCAATATATGATAGAGAAGGTTTTATAGTTCAAGTCTGCAAGTAAAATGTTATGCCTGAGATGAGCAAGTTGGGAGGGTGGTTGTTAAGAAGGGCCATTCTGAGTATTATTTGCTAAAAAAATTGTTCATATTTTAAGATTCACAATTTGAATGTGTTTGGGTACCATGATTTTTTTTGCATCAATGGTTGGTTTAGTTCCTTATGATTTGCTGGACCTTTTTGCTGTTACAATGCTGTATTCACATGCACAGTCTAGAAGTTTTGAGTACAATCTTTGTATCCTTTAACATTGCTCACTCTGTTATCCTTGAATAAATACTTACTTTCTAAATCTCATGTGAATTTTGTAGCTTTCTTGCTTCTGCGTCCAGAGTTTATCACTTGTCATTTCAGATAGTTTTTGAATGATGAATTTGACGAGTTCCTCGTGTGTGTTTGATCTGGATTGCAGGAAGTGTTGAGCCAGGTCTTGCATGAGGCTGGTTATACAAGGGATTCACTGTTGCTGTTGAACGACTTCATTAAGGTAATATTCATGTTTTATTTGACTGGNGGGGGGGGTTGTACATGTTAATCGGAAAGATTAGTACACGCTAAGGCCATATTCTCAACGAGTATGCTTCTGCATGCTGTTTCTTCTCATTAAAGTAAAACACACATGTTTTGAAGCTGCTATCATTTGATTCCAATTTATTAATTGGTTTATTGTATTGTTAAATTCATCTTTTTCTTTTCAGTACTCAATACCTTATAGCTTTGTACTTGTGTTTTGCTGATGTTTTCAGATCCTGGACCACCCTGGTTTGAAGATGGAAGTAGAAGTACCAATTGACTAGTTACAACTGCGATTTCAGTTACTACAATTCTGTTGTCTCTGCGTACAAGGCAGCCGTGTTATTCTATTTTGTTGAATTCGCGCACCTGCATTCTCCTGCTGTTTTTTGTTAAATCCCTTTCTTTTTCCTTCTTTTGCCCCCCTTTTCTGTCTGTTTGTGGGGCAGGGACAGAAACAGAGAAACCACTGTGTAATTAAGATAAACAGCTTTCAGCTTATTCAGAAGATCTTGAATATGCTATAATTTTCATCTCTCACAAACTGTGTATTTTCCAAGTCGAGTCGAGCAGAGTTTTGCGTGCTTTAACCAACGTGGTGCATATTGGGCTCGTTCAGTGAATTGCATACTGTATTCGAACACGCTCAATCTCGGCTTGCTAACTGGCTAGCGAGGCTGTCGCAAGGGGTTCCGCCCCCTTGATCTCGTACATTAGCCGAAACGGTCCAATGAAAGGATTGGTGATTAATTTGAACCAGTTGAAGGTTAGTTGACAGTCTAAAATATTTGGTTTCAAATCATTCTGAAAAGTGCCAAAAATAGAATGAGTTATTACTATGGGTGTGTTTGGTAGGAAGGAAAATATTTTTTAATTTTTTCATGTTTTGTTGGATTAAATATTTTAGAAAATATTTTCTTTATGAACTCATTTTCCTTAATTGGAGGAAAATGTTTTCCTTGTTAAGAGAAGGAAAAATATTTTTCAAAACTCCTTCTCAACCCACCCCACACTCTCACACCCACCCACCTAACCCCACCCCTCTCTTCAAAAAGGCTTTTTTTTTCTTCAAATTTTTTTT